CTTTTTCTATAAATGTCTTTGCAATATATGACAGTCTAAAGAAAAGACGTCATTTTTACTTTCAATTCTGAACACACATGTATGTGAAGCTCAAATTTGATGGTGAGCCATGAACACTATTACTAATAAGCTTAGCTAAAAAATTCCCTGTCTCTTGCATGTGTGTGCAAAAACATCTTGGCTCAACTACCTGTATCCATTTTCAAAAACAAATCCGACATGGGGTAAGTCTAAAATTAAATAAAGAGTACAAACCCGGTTTGAAATCTATGTCTGGACATTTCATCTGGACACCATTATCTTTGTAACCAATAACATCATCTTGGTTATTGTTGATAAACTCCTTTAAATCTTGAAAAAATAAATTCACAAAATTATTATTAATAGAAGGGATAAAATTTTTATCATGCAGCCATTTGGGCATAGTAATTTCTGTAAGCTGATAGAGCTCAATTTCAGCTATCTGTATAGTCATCTAAATATTTACTTTACCAGCTGATAGAACTCAATTTCAGCTATATGTATAGTCATCTAAATATTTACTTTACCAGCTGATAGAACCCAATTTCAGCTATATGTATAGTCATCTAAATATTTACTTTACCAGCTGATAGAACTCAATTTCAGCTATCTGTATAGTTGTCTAAATATTAACTTTACTAACTGATAGAGCTCAATTTCAGCTATCTATATAGTCATCTAAATATTTACTTTACCAGCTGATAGAACTCAATTTCAGCTATCTGTATAGTTGTCTAAATATTAACTTTACTAACTGATAGAGCTCAATTTCAGCTATCTGTATAGTTGTCTAAATATTAACTTTACTAACTGATAGAGCTCAATTTCAGCTATCTGTATAGTTATCTAAATATTAACTTTACTAACTGATAGAGCTCAATTTCAGCTATCTGTATAGTTGTCTAAATATTAACTTTACTAACTGATAGAGCTCAATTTCAGCTATCTGTATAGTTGTCTAAATATTAACTTTACTAACTGATAGAGTTCAATTTCAGCTATCTGTATAGTTATCTAAATATTAACTTTACCAACTGATGGAACAAACTATACTTACATCCAAAAGACAGTTGAACTCGATCACTGAGAGTCTTTCCTTGAGAATTTTCAGCCAAACATTGGTAGTCTGATTCATCACTTGTGGTTGGGTCGGAAATCGTCAATCGTCCGTTTGTGAGGGTATACCGGGGATCTATATCTGCAGTTATCACCATTTCACTTGTCCCGTTGATCTTATTCCAGGTATATTTGGGATTGGGCGTTCCCTCTGCCACACATTCCAGCCAAAGCATAGACGTGGCACCGAGGACAACCGTTTCTTCGGGTTCGATGATAAATTTCGGACCTCTTGGAACCAAATTTGGGTCCAGAATATCAAGACCATAGTCTGAAAAAAAAAAGAAAAATGGTGAATATTGATAAAAAGTGTGGATGTTTGTGACACCGATTGTCAACGCTTTCAATAAAGTACCAAAATGGTTTGTTATCAGTGGAATTGTAGGAACCAAAGACTGAAATTTGAATGGTGCAAAAATGAAATAAATGGAGTTTTACGTCCTACTTTTCTGCAAATCAATCATATGCTATCAGTACAGCTTTGAAATTGTCCAAAAATCTGAAAACTTCTTAAATAAAGTGCTGTGCTTTAAGCTCCAAATCAGAAAAAATCTTTTATGTAAAAAATAAATAAGAAGTAAAATACCAAATCCTCTGTTTTCCTCCAGAATTCTGTAGGCTTCCGTTTGGCTGATTTCACAAATGAAGGAGGAAATGGTATTCTGTGGTTGGTTACCCCAACCATATTCAATTCCTACAATGGTAAGTAATTTATATATTATTGAATCCTGCCACTTTACTGTTCCAGATTACGTTGTGAAACCAATAAATGAGTCTTGAGGGAAATTGTTGAAGGAAATCAGTAATATAGCACTATTTTCTACTGGCAGCTCATCCAAGCTATATCATTGACAGTAAAATCAATCTTAGAAATTCTCAGGTGTCTCTGGACGTACGACTCAATGTAAGCAAGCAAGCAAGCAAGCATATAATTCCTTAACCTACAATTCATATCAAAATATGAATATAAAGCATATCAAAGAAATGCAATGAATGTGGATTTTCATTTTACTTTTCTGTACCTGTTAAGGCAATGCCATGCATTATGCAATGGGGAAAATTTTGCCAGGACAACAGCATTAGCCTATTCTTTTTTTTCAAGTTCCAACTGTCTACAGCCAGTTTATTGTCCCAAGATGAGCAATGCCAAGCAATGAGCAATGAGGAAAATTTTGCCAGGTGAAACATACGTAAAGAAAAACAAACCTGAGTGTTTGTAGACCAGTCTGTTGCCATCCTGTGTAGCGTCAGAAGCATTGATCCAGAAATTGAGTGTCTGAGAGAAGGTGTTGTCACCCTGCCATGCGATGCCTCCTGCCACTGACGTACTGACAACCCCACTGGTGTACCATTTATCTCTGTATAATAAATTACACATGATACAAATGAAATGGAGTTATCCCTCCTACTTTTTTACTCCCATTGGTCTATTGAAGACAGAATTCCTTTCAGTTTATTGATCAGTTTATTAATGTCAAATTATCTCCCTTGGATATTTTCCCCTGAAACCCAATAAGCTCCCTTCACAACATCAAATCAATCAGTTTGGGCATATTTGAAAGATATTTAAAATCAACTCAATTGCATTTGATAAAGGAAGTGGGGGGGAGGGGGGGGGGGGTCGTTTGTCAAGATGACTTATGTCAATTTGTTTTGTTACAGGTTCTGATCTCAGTGTCAAAGTCATGTGCCTTAAAATAAGTCATCTTTCTCCTTATTACAGTTGACACGACTGTAAATGGGTATGAATTATGAAAGATCAAATATGCTTTTGACCAAGGATCCTTTTGAACCCAAGTTGTTATCGTTGTACTAATTTCATTTATGATTCATAATGCATTAAGGATTATCATATTGTCAGCCATTTTCCATCTCAGAAAAAACCCAAAAACTCCTACCTCCTCTGGTCATTGATCTCCAGCCAGTTAATAAGAAATCTGTGTTCTTCATCGGAATTTACACTGAGTAATGTAGCTCCATCTTCCTACAAACAAAATTGAAATTTATGACCAGCAATTTATATTGGTAGTAATATCTACTCATATAATAATCTCATTGTGATAAATATTAATGATATTGTGATATCCACATGAACCAGTTAGGGCTGGATGATGTATTAATATCACAATAAATATCTGCATAGGAATTTATATTGTTAGTAATATAACCTGTTGAAAATATACTGAAATATCACCATCTTGTGTATTAAACCTAATTCTGGCCAATGTAAATTAAAGAGTTTATTATTATTATAAGCAATGTCACTAAGTCCTGCATATAAGCTAAAATAACGTTACTTACCCGACATATAGCGTTAGCTCGGTCGTAGTTTTGTCGCGGGTAAGCTACAAATCTATAACAATATCCATCAAACTGAACCCAATTTACAGGACAATCTGAAAAAAAAAAGGAAAATATTGATTGCATTACGAAGGTTATTGTCAATTTTGCTTCTTACTTAAATGTTAAAATGGGTCTACATGTCAACCTTCTACAGTCAACCCGTCAACACAAATTATTGTAATATAGATGTTATTTTGGAAACGATATTATGTTTTATTTATTATAGGAAGCGATGGTTTCCATTTAAACTAATATCTTTATTAGTTTTATTGTCTTCTAATCCCAATTTGGAGTATAAGGGCTCCATGTAGAAACACCACAGATAAGGTGAGCTTGAATTAATTTCCGGTACTTACCAAATAATTTAGCAGAAACATAGACACATGTGGTTAAGAATATAAAACTAAAAAATAATGGCTTCCTCATTCTGTCATTACTAAACTGGAAAAAAAAAAATTAATTTTGATTAATTTGATATATCAACACTATGCAGTGTGCAATGAGAGAAATATTTAAAGAACAGAATCCTTTATTAGAAATACTGGCACCATTTTTTTGGGTTGAGGACAACTCGGAACAACACAAACATGGTCCACTTTTTTTTTATCAAAAATATTTCACAAACTCAGACCAAGTCCTGAGTCCCATAAAAAGTGGGCAGTGTTTGTCTTGAAAAGTGGGCCAAGTTTGTCTTAAAAAATCAATCTAATCCTACTGTTTTCGATAAATGAAATTTTGGACAATGCCCTACCCCAACCATTTGGGTGTCTAAACTCTATTAAAACTATGCTATACTGTTCTTAGGCTACCATGTAAGAAGTTACATAAATCATACATAAAACTGATTTGACCTATTTCAGTTTTCTAAATTTTAGGATAAAGTGAATAAACAAAACGCGGTTACTTTGATAAACAAAATATTCAAAGATGAAAGGCGCCCAATTTCGAATTTCCTTGAAATTTCAAATTATTTCTTATAAGGCCTACCTGACAGGTCTAAATTCAAAGTTTGAAATGTACGACTCATTTCGTGTTATGATTCATTATTCAAAAATGTGAACATAAACAGTGAATGGTTTTTACCTGTAGGCCTACAGGTGTGATAATGCAATTTGTTACTGTGTACGAATTTCATAGTCAAACGTAGAATATCTTTAGATATGCAACCTCGCACACAAACATGTTGATCTTTTATTATTCTATATTAAATAAGTAAAAAATTACCTTTTTCTTGAGAAAGTGACAACTTTGAAAACAAAATGGCGGTTCTCACCTGTATCAGCGACATCTAGCGGCTAAAAGTTGTCCCTAACTCATCAATCAGCATCACGCATCACCCGTCATGCTTCATCCGTCACGCTCAAGTAATGGATTGATGCGATCTCAGCCGTGTGATGCCAGTCGGAGGGGCTGGCACTGACAGTGCTAACAGGCCTACAGTCTACCGCAGTTTCTGCGCTGATGTCATGCGCCAACGCCGGTAAATGAAAAATAGGGTTGTGGTCGCACTATTTGGGCGAGACAAGCCCTTAAAAACACTTTCCTTCAAGCATGATAGCCAGGAAGAGGACAGACTTCACCAAGGTAAGAAGGATATTTTGATTGATTGATTAATTAATTAAAGTTAGACCTATAAAAGTATTCGATAAAAAATTAAATATAATAGATATTTTACTGAGTCGAATGTTTGAAAAACCTTTGAAACATTTAAGGGAATTTATGAAACTGAATTTTAAGGAAGTAATACCACCATTTTGTATGGTTGTAGAAAGGAGCCCTTCAATATTAATCTCTAACAAAGTATTAATTTTAATTTTAATGATATATACTGCAGGATGGCAATAAACATGGCATTTTTAAGGGTTTTGTTTCTGCTGTTTTCGATATATAAGGTAAGTTTATGCTCTCCTATTTACTCGTCAGTTCATAAGTGGCCAAATCAAGAATCATCAGTAGAATATATACTGAGGAGGTGGTGATTCATCCCCCACCCAAACCCCCCGTGCCTGTGTTAGATCTTATTTTGAAGTGAAAATAAGGTCCTCTAAATGCTCAAAATTCATTTCAGGCCAATTGAAATCCGTTGGCTTCTTCTTCCGACCTTTAAGGCCTCGCCCCGAAGGCCCCATTTTTGCCCCCCCCCCCCCATCTTAGGTATACTTTAGATACATCCCTTGGTAGAATTTTGATGCTGGCCCTGCTTTGGGTCAATATAACTCAAAACAGAACTTTCACTTTCAATCTACAAAATATCCAAATCCCCTTCTCCTTTAAACTCTCTCTACTTATTCAAGACACTTTTCAGCACCAAGACTCCACCTTCCAATTCTTCCCTTCTCCTTGATCAATATTAATTATAATTGACTCTTTCAAGAATATTTTTTCAATTCAAAACTTCACATTTTTTCAAACCTGGCAATTTAGATAAACAAAACAGTCAACCAAACTTTGTCGTTATTTTTTTACAGGTAAAAGGGGGAGATATGTGCCCACCAGGTACTCACTGCATAGCAAACTGCAAGGTTGGAAACAATCAGCCAGAATGTCAAGATTGTCCACGTGGAACCTTTTCTACAAAAGAAAATATAGCATCATATTGTGAAGTCTGTCGCGATACAAAGTGTCCCCGAGGAACAGTCTTCAAAGATACTTGTACTAGTACAACCGATAACCGCTGTGATTGTAAAGATGGTAGCTACATGGTACGCAACATAGGCTCACAATATGGAAAATGTATCATGCATAAAACATGTAAGAACAACGAGGTCGTCATCAAAAACGGTAAACAAGTTTTCATTCGGTGAGCACTAATACCTTGATTGTAAAAGCCACCTTTCGTGTATCACGGAAATTTCTTTGATTGGATTGGACGCCGGCATATACAAGCCTATTACAGCTAAATTGTTTACAGTCTTTCTGTCGAGTCTATGATAGTCTGTATTCGCTTGTGTCAAATCCAATCAGACTAGAGAAAACAATATAGGCCTACAAGAAAGGTGGCTATTGCAATCAAGGTATTAGACGCAGTTCTTAATAGATTCACATTGTGAAGATGATCTGGCTACGTATTCGCGAAATGATCTTAGCGCTAAGATGTCTTAGGGTACCTTAACTTTTTAAACTTTCTAGGATATCCTATGGTCTTAACTTCTAACACTGTTTCTAGGATATCCTAGGGTCTTAACTTCTAACATTGTTTCTAGGATATCCTAGGGTATTAACTTCTAACAGTGTTTCTAGGATGTCCTAGGGCCTTAACTTCTAACACTGTTTCTAGGATATCCTAGGGTCTTAACTTCTAACACTGTTTCTAGGATATCCTACGCTCTTAACTTCTAACACTGTTTCTAGGATATCTTCAGGTCTTAACTTCTAACACTGTTTCTAGGATATCCTAGAGTCTTAACTTCTAACACTGTTTCTAGGATATCCCAGGGTTTAACTTCTAACACTGTTTCTAGGATATCCTAGGGTTTTAACTTCTAACACTGTTTCTAGGATATCCTAGGGTCTCAATTTCTATCACTGTTGCTAGGATGTCCTAGGGCCTTAACTTCTAACACTGTTTCTAGGATATCCTAGGGTCTTAACTTCTAACACTGTTTCAAGGATATCCTAGGGTCTTAATTTCTAACACTGTTTCTAGGATATCCTAGAGTCTTAAATTCTAACACTGTTTCTAGGATATTCTAGGGTCTTAACTTCTAACACTGTTTCTAGGATATCCTAGGGTCTCAACTTCTAACACTGTTTCTAGGATATCCTAGGATGTTAACTTCTAACACCGTTTCTAGGATATCCTAGGGTCTTAACTTCTAACACTGTTTGTAGGATATCCTAGGGTCTCAACTTCTATCACTATTTCTAGGATATCCTAGGGTTTTAACTTCTAACACTGTTTCAAGGATATCCTAGTGTTTTAACTTCTAACAGTGTTTCTAGGATATCCTAGTGTTTTAACTTCTATCACTGTTTCTAGGATATCCTAGGGTCTTAACTTCTAACACTGTTTCTAGGATATCCTAGTGTTTTAACTTCTAACACTGTTTCTAGGATATCCTAGGGTCTTAACTTCTAACACTGTCTCTAGGATATCCTAGGAGTTTAACTTCTAACACTGTTTCTAGGATATCCTAGCAGTAAGATCGTTTCGAGAATACGTGGCCTGATTCTGACTGTTATCTATCTGGGCTAGCCTCTCTTAACTTGATTTTGCCAACTTTGCTTAGTGGACTTCTCATGACATGGCATTTAAGTATTTTTATTTATTGCCCCTTTTAAGGCACGGCAACCGAAGACACGCAATGTGGACCAAAACCAACAGACCCTACTACTACCACTGGTCAAGATGAGAAAGAATCGACTATAAGTAGTGAGCATCACCCTGGCACTGATGGTTACACCACTTCTACCCAGATCCCAAAAGACAATGATGAGGCTGATGAAGGTGAGTAATGATTTGGAAATTACTCGACAAATTTTATTTGATACAAATAGAACAATGAGACTTTATAAGATGTAACGTGCTAATATGTTCTCTCGAAAAGTCTAAATAAAATTAGACCAAACTTTTGTTACGTTTGTGGCTACATTAAAAATAAAAGCTAAAAAAAAACCCAAACCCCCAAAACGAAAGTTTTGTTTGATTTGAATTAGACTGTTCTCTCGATCGATCGATCAATCGAAAGGCAAGGCTGGTATCAATCGATAGTATCTTTCGCGAGTTATATGAGTTTTTGAGGACTTGTTTAGGAAATAATAGAGGGAAAGTTCCAAGATCTCTAAAGCTCAGCTGTCTGACACAACAATAGTCCATGACCCTCCTTACAGCTAGATCAACCGTTGGAGGCTTTGATAGAGTCAGAAAACGAAACGAAACGAATGGAGTTCGTCCTATAACACACGGGGCCTCGGTATATTGTCCCATCCGAACGACTGGACGCTTTTTCCATTTTAGCCCCTCTTACCTACATCACTGACAGGGGGAAACCGGGTTGAATCAGAGTTCCTCAGACTATATCAAGGATTATGTTTATTTCCAGGATCCAGTGAGTTGACAGGAGTACAAGTATTAGCCATTCTTATAACGATTGTAGTTGTAGTAGTAATATTGCCAATAGTAATTTACTTTTATTGCTGCCAAAACCAAGCTGACGACAATCGGGTCGTGACTACAACAAATGAAGTGAGAAAAAAACGAAAAAGAGCACGCTCCAATAAATTAAAAAATCGTAAATCCACTACATTATAGACTATAGAGTTGACTAGAGTTGGTTCCGTGTACCAAAGGAACCCGTACCTCGTGTGTTCACTTCATTTCACTTCACTTCTATTTTCGTATTTATTGATAATGCCACACCCTATACCGTACTGGACACTGTACATCTCGCCTATTCTCACTTTAAGTTGGATTAAAGTAAAATTTTGATTGTGATAATCTTAATCAATAAGTATCCATTTGATAAAAAATTAAGCTAATGCTGATTGGAAGTAAACGTTGGCTATAGGTTCTACAATTATAAAGAAAGTAAGGGGAAGTATGTATACTGTAATTTTTGTTAATTATACATAACTTTTGCCACCAACAAGTACAACCATTTAAAGAATTATAGACATAAAAACTGCAACTCCAACAGATATACATGCTGACAAAAGTTGATGCCTTTCCTTTACCACTGTAAGGATGTAGTCTGTGGGCTTCAAGCATGGCATGACGAGTCTTGGCGAATATGTTTTTCAACACCAACCATTCCGGAAAATATTATAGGACACGGGTGCATGACATGGTGATGGCTGATCGACAACTGACGAGTCGAAATATTGTTGTGGGCATCTCTCATGAGAGGCTTGAGCACACTATCACCATCGAGTTGGAAATGACAAAAGTTTCTGCAAGAGCAGTTGACAGCGTATCAGAGATATGTCAGATTCCTGACATGCCGTCACATTTTATGCCGTTTTTAACTTAAATAAAATCCAGATTTATCTGATTGGATAATAAAACTAAATTTAAAATCCATCATAGTTGTTGATCAATCAGATGATTAGAACACTAAAATCATCGTAAGTTTAGTTTCCCCTCGCAGATACTTATTACTTGTGCAGTATACATGTATTAAATGATTATTGATATTATTTGTTTGTTATCCATAGCTTTTGAAATTTTACTTCCAAATATACTAACAGCAGACGACAATCCAACTCGCTACCGACTGAGCTATTCCACTGCCACAAAAAGACATTGACGTTCGAAAGTTGTTAATCCACTCAAGGAGATATTCAATTAGCCAGGCACAGGCCATGAGAGGTATTTTGCCCGAAGTTGGCACAGATGTAGTTTTAGATTGCTAGTTTTTCAGAATTGAAATCATGACAAAATTCGAATATTCCTTAACTTTTGGTGGCTATAGAAACCTGAACCATTAATGAGTCTATCCCATGGAAATCGGCTACAGCCATATCTACTCTAGACTTATCGCCCACGAGAAAGCGAGGAAACTCGACTTCTCGCCCACGAGAAAGCGAGGAAAAAGCGATTAATAAGGCGAGAAAAAAGGCGAGGAAATAAGCGAGAAAGCGAGGAAAATGGCGAGTATATCTATAATTGATGTATTGAGCACTATATAGTGGTATTTCTATATCGCTCTACAATTGATGTATTGAACACTATTTTTACAGTGGTATTTCTATATCGCTCTACAATTGATGTATTGAACACTATTTTAACAGTGGTATTTCTATATAGCTCTACAATTGATGTATTGAGCACTATATAGTGGTATTTCTATATCACTCTACAATTGATGTATTGAGCACTATTTTAACAGTGGTATTTCTATATCGCTCTACAATTGATGTATTGAGCACTATTTAAACAGTGGTATTTCTACATCGCTCTATAATTGATGTATTGAACACTATTTTAACAGTGGTATTTCTATATCACTCTACAATTGATGTATTGAGCACTATTTAAACAGTGGTATTTCTACATCGCTCTATAATTGATGTATTGAGCACTATTTAAACAGTGGTATTTCTATATTGCTCTATAATTGATGTATTAAGCACTATTTTAACAGTGGTATTTCTACATCGCTCTATAATTGATGTATTGAGCACTATTTAAACAGTGGTATTTCTATATTGCTCTATAATTGATGTATTAAGCACTATTTAAACAGTGGTATTTCTATATTGCTCTATAATTGATGTATTGAGCACTATTTAAACAGTGGTATTTCTATATTGCTCTATAATTGATGTATTAAGCACTATTTTAACAGTGGTATTTCTACATCGCTCTATAATTGATGTATTGAGCACTATTTAAACAGTGGTATTTCTATATTGCTCTATAATTGATGTATTAAGCACTATTTAAACAGTGGTATTTCTATATTGCTCTATAATTGATGTATTGGTCACTATTTTCACAGAATATTTTTGTTATTATTTATTTATTTATATATTTATCACAGATATAATGAAATAGAAATACAGATCAAACGAGAAAAGAGCAGAAGACAGATCTAATCATTGTGATGTTCATGTATCAATCTCGGTGTGTATCTTATAAACATTCTGTAGACGGCATATCCAGACATACAAACTATCAGTATTATTGGCACTGTCAGAATTCTATCTGATCCTGAAAATAAAAAAATAATGACGGATGGTAGATGACAAGTTAACGTTGGATTCCAGTGGATGCTGATATTGCAATAAAGGTATCTGTGCATCGACTGGGAAATAATAACGTATTGTTATAGTTATAGCCTATTATAGAAACTGGAATGTACACCAATCATGTGACCGCGTGCTTCATCTTAAGTTAATCTGTCATTCGGCAATCCTCGGCAGTTTCCGTAAAGCTGAACATGTTGAATCCCTAAAAACCTTCACACTAGACAGTATATTATCTTCCAGAATAATTTGGGGAACTTGACTTGACAAAATAGCATGACCAAAATGTTATATAACTTCTACTGACCTCCTTTGGCATCACCATTGCCCGGGGGTTTCAGGACATGGTTAACATCACCATCAGTGCCAGTCGAGTCCTTCCCATCTTGATCAGTGCCAGGTTGGTGTTTACCAGTCGAGTCTTTCTCATCTCGACCCGTGCTAGAGGTGTCCGTTGGCTTCGGGCCACATTTTGTATCTTCAGTTGCCGTGCCTGGAACGTGTAAAAAAAATACTTGAATGCCAAGTCATGAAACAGTAATTGAGACGTCCATAAAACAAACTTGGTAAGACCAGGTTAAGGGTGGCTAGACAAGAAAGACAATTGCTTCCGATGTAATATATCCCCCCCCCCCCCCCCC